CTGTTCCAACCAAAGCTTCAAGAAGCCTGCATTTGGAAAACTAGGCAAGTACTTTCTAAGGGAAATTAGCAGAAGGCATGATTTTTATAACATTTTACGCTAGAGAGTACCATTATTTTTTCTATTGTTTTCCTAAACAAGAAAGAGCATTCCAGAGCCAACCTGATTATGTAACCTGCCTGCATAAAATCCTTTAATGGTGCACTCAGAATAAAGTCCAACCTCATTAGGATGGATTGTGACCCTTTGGGATCAGGCACCTGCAAGGCATTTGCCATTCCTTCCTTATCTCTCCCTTCCCATTCTCTTGAGCCACCTATCCACCCACCCACGACTGTGAGCCAGAATCATTACCCTCTGTTGCAAAAGGACCTTCAGAGGCAGTTTCCCTAACCAGGCATTCCTGCATCACTCTTCCCTCCTCTACGATCACTTAATTGCCACTGATGTGCTCACAGAGTGCTCAGGGGAGCTTCCCTTCCAGTGCCAAAAGCTTACCTCAACCGCAGCCCCTTCCCTGGTAATTATGATAATGGGTTTACTCTTCTGCCTCCTCTGTTAGATCATGTGCTTCTTGCGGGAAGCAACCTTTTCAGTGAGTCTGAAAACGTAACGCCTAGCAAAGGGTATGCCCTGTTAACTGGTAAGCCCTTAAATCTGCGATGAATGAATGTTAAGGAACTGCCTTTCTCTTGGAACTGGTGTTTAATACGATCAACCTCATATGTTTTTGTTAGTCCTTCTTAATTGCCCCCCAACCCTCTGCATGCTGGGGACTGAACCCAGAGCCATTATATTCCCAGCCCTTGTTTGTCCTTTAAAAGGAAAAGGGGAAAAACTAGGAGTTTTTCAAAAGTTGGTCATTTCAAATATGGCCAAGGCAGTCCACGAGGTTCCTGTTTCAACTAGGCAGACATAATCTTTTTTTAATAATCAAGACTACTTAGGAAGATCCCTACATATTAGTAAGGCTTTTTTATAAAAATGCACCCCTGAAACTTTTTTTTTTTGAGATAGGGTCTCACTGTGTAGTTCAGGCTGGCTGCATAGCCCAAGATGGCCTCGAACTCACTGGTGATCCTTCTGCCTCAGCCTCCTGAGTGCTGGCTAACCATTTTAATCCAAAGCTGGATTTTAGATACAAGCTTTAAGGCCTGTTTATCAAAATCTAGTTATATTTACTGGTATCATTCATTTATCCTCTAAACATTTATTAGTGTGTAGATGTGGTTTTTTAAAAAGCATGGCAATTTCTAATTGCATGCAGAAATGTCTGTGGGGTGGTCACTTGAAAAAATTGTTTAGATTAAATACATCATTATGCCTAAAAAAGATTCATCTAGAGAAGAAACTCCCTGTGATTGGTCTTCTGGGTGTTGGCAGGTTAAGGACTCATAACCAAACATACTTTAACCAAACTAGGGTTAAAACAAAACAAAACAACAACAACAAAAAACCACTGTAAGAAGCCTTGTACTGCTTTTAAAAAACCAGTATAAAAACTAACATTCATAAATACTACAGAAATGATGACTGGACAAAGCCAAAGAAAATGAAGCAAAAAGAGAGCATTTGGGGTTCCCATAGCTGCTATATTACATTAGAAAATGGGGTAGGGGTATAGGACTGAGATTAAGTTAGCAGTGAAATATGGTCAGTTATACAACACATATTGAGAGAGGCCACAACAGATATTTTATATAAATTTCCCAAATTTCACAAAATAACTTTTCCATTAGAAATATAATACTTGGAATTGAAGTAGTCAAAACCCTGTCCCGAATGCCCAGTGACTTATCTGCTTTGCAGATATGTCATACTACGCCTAAAATATCCCTCTATTATTATGTACAAAATCTGGTTCAAAACCATTTCAACAGTAATGGAAACAGAATGGTAAAAATACAACTATCACAAACCAGGTGGCAGGCAGAGGGTCCTTGCTAATACATAGGGTGTCCGCATTCAGAGCATCTATGTATTTCTGTACCTTCAGTTACTCAAAAGTATTTGAAAAACTCATCTGTACTGCACTCTACAGCAGCTGATGTCTAAACCTGGAGGTATAAACAAGACTAGAATGTCACATGTGTGCTGCAGACCCTTCCACGAATCTATTGGATGTTGAACTAGTTATGGGGGGCTCTGAAACGAATCAAGCCACATTTCACATGGGTTTTCTCGAGTGTTAGCTCATAAGAGATCTGAAATAACAGATCAGTCATCGTCTGATGTCACAGAACTTGCAATTAAAATATTCATCTAATGATAGGAATAATGAAAAGAACTTCATGACCAGATAAGACGTGTATCACACGTCATGTTTTTATGGATAAGCTTGGTTTTGAAGTGTGAATCTGGACTTTCATCTGTTTATTTCAACAGCTGTAACTTTCCAAAGTAAGTCGACAAATGTTGCCCTAAATATTTTCTCATACCTCCTCCTGTCCTATATATTAAATTAAAAGTACTTAAAAAAAAAAAAGCCAAAACTTTAGTTAACTCTTTATGGTTTTGCTAAAGTTGTTCGATTTTGCTGATAACTATATGGATATTTCCTTCTGGGTGCTCTTTCTCATTTCATTTTGTTTCTAAGCAAATATAACAAATAATCTGACCAATTAGCTCTATCAAGATGGTCTCTGAACAGTTCAGCTGATTTGCGTGAGAGTGTGTGTGTGTGTGGCACTGGGGATTAAACACAGAACTTTATTATGCTGGGACACACTCTACCACTGAAGTATTTCCTCAGCCCCTTTTCCCCACCAGTTACCTTAATTTTTACAGGAATGAACATAACCTCCAAGTGACCAAAAACCTACAGTGATCTATTCCACCATAAAGTCACTCCAGGTTGTTTTAATGAACTAGGACAATTAATCTCTCAGGTAGTAAAGTACTTAGAACTTTTACTGTACTGACATGGAAGTATAATTATCCATAATGTAGTATTTATGAGCTAGAGTAAATGAAAGATGCATAAAGTAATAGATAATAACATGGGACACATGAGCCATAGCAAACAGAAGCTTGTATCCTTCTCCAAACTGTGCCACCTCCACATTTATGTAGGACCTCAAGATATAAATCTGTTAAGTCTGGGGTTAAAAAATAGAGAAAATAATAGAGATTTCCTGCTAACACAAACTAATTACAGAAAAAATGAGGAAGGTGCATTCTTCAGTATTTCAGAGTTCATGGCACTTGTATCTCTATCCTCTGGTGACCTGTAAACTGATTATAAATTTGTACATTTCCAGATACACTATTACATAGCGTATGCTAAGAAAAAAGTGACTAATGATGTCTAAAATAGAGCTAGGGATAAATGAAGCCAAAGAGAAGCAAAAGCAAGCATTATAAAATAAGAAGCCTGTGCGCTCACACCCTTAACCATCCCTAGGGCAGCCCTGCTGTTGGGGAAGCCTGGGGGGCTGCGGCTGTGACCAGGACTCTTCTCATTTGGAGACGACCCAACCACAGTCTGCAGCCTGTCGTGCGGCATGGAGTGAAAAGACGAATTAGATCGATCAGTCTTTCAGCAATCTGAAGCTAAAGTGAATAAATACTGAACGGGTCAGCGATGAGAAGTTTGCAAGGAAGCTGCAAGGGTTTGAAAGAAGCCAAGAGGCTGAGTCCAGACCACAGAGGGGCTCTGAAGACCAAAGTGCTCAGCAAGCAAAACCCACTTAAGGTAGAGGATACAAAAATCAGAAAGAAACAGAAAAGACAGGAAGAAAGTCAAGAGAAAAAAGCAAAGACTTCCCGCAAGAAAAAAGCAGAGAAGAGAGACAGAGAGAGAGGGAAGAGAGAACAGGACGTGGGAACAGTCCCATAGAACTACCTCAGTTCCTGAGTATGCTCTTGTTTCAGCACAAGTACACCCTGACTTATTTAAAAACCAAACCAAACCCTTTTTCTTAAGAGAGTCTGAGTCCCAGTCTGTCTCTGAAGTCCTGCAACTCAGCAGTCGGAATTAGTATTAATGATCTAAGGCTGGACTAAATGAGAAATATATATGACTATTACATGTTCTTAACAAGCTGCGTATAGCACATGAGACTTCCAACGTGCTAAAATCCCTAGAGTGAGCCAGACCCTGCACCACGAACTTGCTCGGCTGTCAAGATTTAAGGCACAAAACAGCATGCTGCAATCCAGCAGGTTATGTTTAGATGACTTCCACCCAAACTTTAAAAACCTGACATTGCCCAATTTGTCTGAAAAGTCCTTTTTATAGAAAGTGCTTAACAAACCACACTCCTTTGCAATACAATGTTATACATGAAATCCACTATGACAGAACAGACTATAAGCGTTTATTCGTTCCCCAGCCAAGGCAAAATATTTTTTTAAAAAGTTGTTATTCAGGTAGGTGAAAAAAATTATATCAACATTCTCATTTTCTAAAAATGATTATACTCAGTACAATAATAATTCTCTATGTGCTTTGATAAAATATACTCTGGAGACAGGGTTACAAATTAGCAACTAAGGGCCACATCTACCAAGCAGAAGTATCATTTTGGGCCTGCGGTGTGTTTTTGTTGTTGTTGTTGTTTTAATAAATTAGTTGATAGAACTTTAAAAATCAAGCGATAATACATATAAAATCCTTTATGTATTTCTTGCTTGTCAGGCTGTGTGAACTCACAGTTTCACAAACCAACAAAGCCTGCAGCGGCGCTCAGGTGGGTTACTCCTCTTAGATGGGGCGAGCATCCAGTTTCTGCTCATTCTCCCTGTTGCCTGCTCATCCTTGTGGGCATTTTACTTTGTAACCTCTACTCTAGAGACAGGGTATTTTTAAATCTCCTGGGCGTCAACACGTAGTACGTTTGACCCTACAAATAGCAGCACTGCTATCTGAAGTGGACGTCTGAAGTAGAGCAGGAAATATTTTGGAGTTTGCAGTCCCCACTCGGTCCAGTTTGGTGACAGTTAAATGCAGATGGGACTGTGCACCTCCCCCAACCTTTTCCTTGCTGAGCCCCCCTTACCTTTTCTGTCGGGCTTGAGGTTCCTATCCACGGGGGGTGGTTCACAGTCTGCCACAGGAACTGGCCTTCTGGGAGGGGTCTTTGGGCTGGACCTGAAGCCCATGTGAGCAGGAGGAGGAACTTGCATTCCAAATGCAGAAAAATCAAACGTCCCTGGTGTCATTGGCACATAATTTGCTTCCTGAATTGGTTCCGTGAAACTGCTGGAATGTTGTCGTGGTGGAGAGTTGGGATTCATTGGGACGTAGTTTTCATCTAGTTCCTCGCTTGAGACACTTCCCACTGTCAACACATTTTTGATTTTCTAAAACACACATACATTTCTTTTAATAAACAAAACGTACCATCAAACATGGAAATACAATTATCACATCCACTCATACAGATCTGAAGGTACTTTCATTTCATGATCTCATTTAGTCTCGAGGTAATAAGCACGAAAATTTTGACAATGACATACTCTTGACAATGCCAAGGTCAATTATACTTACAAAGTGATTATGGAATCCTTCAAGCGAACTAGATCTATCATTTGGAAATGTTCGTGGAATATCATAGCAGTCTTGAGAACCAGCATCTAGAATAAAGACCAAGCTATCAGCATTTCTTCCCAGCTTTGTTGGTTCTCAGGGTGATCAGGAATGACCTATTCTCCTGCTCTCTTTATACACTTAACTGCATGCATATGCACTTCCACACATGCACACAAACACACAGAGACTTTTAAAAGAATGCTCACTGAATTGGTGTATCTAAAGTTGGCACACAGAACCACTAGAAAATGCAGACACACTGATATGCTAACCAGTAGCAGTATCCGATTACCGAAGAAAGTGACTTTCTAGGCCTGGGACAATATGGTTTGCAAATATAAAGATGAAGAAGAGAAACTACCTCTAATTTTTTGCTTTGGTTTTGAACTACCATGGGTTTAACTTATATCTCACTAACTCATACCTAGTTATACAGTCACTTTAAGAAGGGACTAAGGAATTGATATTGAACAGTTAAATAAGTTACTGGTAAAATATTTTTAAAGCTACATTAAACTTTCATCTTCTTTAAGATAGCTAGAAAGGATAGGGATGTAGCTCAGTGGCTAAGTGCTTGGCTAGCACACCCAAAGCCCTGAGTTAAATCCACACCATGGGGAAATAACAAACAAAAACAAACCATCCTCTGCAATATCCACCAGAAAACTACAATAAAATAAGGATATTTTACCACAGATGTTGTTAGAACATGTGCATTAAGTACTTTGACTTTTTATATTTAGGACTTTCAAGAATTTTAGAAAATAATCCACACTTTTCCCCCCCTCTTGATATTTTTAATGTTTGATTGTAGGCTCTATTAGAAAGTACACCCATTAGTAGTAACTGGAGTGACTAGTGATAGGAGAAAAGACTCAGGGCTTTAAAAATAATCAAGCCAAAAGAGTAAGGGCTGCACTGGAACAGAATTATCACTTCTTAGACATAACACAGAAATTGCTTATATAGGAAGGAAGGAAACAGCCCAACAGATGTGACACAGAAGTGGCCATAATGGCAAATACAGGAAAGGGTCTGACGAGGGAGGCCTTGTGGCTGGTCCATTTCCTGCTCCTCTGTCCAACAGAGCCTACTCACCACCCAGGATTCATAGAAAGTGGGAGAGAGGTACATTTTGACCGAGGCAGGAAGGCATTACTAAGGCTGTACTTCTTTAGGAATGAGGAACTCCCACTCTTTTCCTTCCAGTATAGCGTGCATTCACACATATATCATACACTGCATGCATGTGCGCGCGCACACGCACGCACACACACACACACACACACACACACACACACTCTTTCCAGGGATCTACTAAGCCTCTGATACCTTGACTACATGAGTAGATAACTGCAAAGCAAAAGGAAAAAAGGGCTCCCATTCAACGTCAGAACAATTATCCCATCACTACCCGATAATGGAGCAGAAGAAGGCAGGAGCTCACCTTTCCGTAATTTGTTCAAATCCACAGTGGAAATGGTATTACTTCGGGATGGCGGCATCCCTGCTGTAGGAATGCAGTAACTACCATCAGTGTCTGAGGCTGCGCGTGGGATACCACACGTTTCCACAGGAGAACGGTCGTGAGTTGGATGGGGTTTTGGTGGCCGAGGTGGAGGGATATCTGGAATAGCATCGAGCTTTGATGTCTGTCCCAAGGTTCCTTCTGGAAATGTTCGTGGAATCTGGTAAGTATTACCAGGTGTTGGAGGAATGTCATAACTGATAGACACATGCCTCATTTGAGTCTCTACACTTGATGTCCCAGAAGGGGTGTTAAAAACATAGAGTTCTCCATCTGCTTCGGTACTCGATGGAGATTCCTTTGGCAAAACATCGTGGGAATAACTCCTGGGCAGGTTATAAAGGCTGGCGTCTGCAGAGACAGATGTAGCACGTGATGGTGGAGAGTCATACATCATTTGCTGCTGGAAAAAGCCATTCACTCCATGTTTGCTCTGGGAGGAAGCAAGATTTTTATGAGGAGGGACGTTATCATTGCAGTCTGTTTCAGAAGAGGTGGATTTTGCGGAATCAGCATGGGTTCTAAGTAAAAATTGGTAATGACAAAAATAAAATGTGGTAAAGATATCACATAATTTTGGTAAGCATACTTACAGCTGAGCAATCAAAATATATGTTTTCTTCTTAGATTTTTTTTTGTGTGATCCATAAGATTTAAAACACAAATGTTCTTTAGTTTTTTACAATTATACACAGCACAACAAAACAACCACCACCATAAACCACCAGAAGCATTTTAATTCTTGTCTTGTACCTGCTTACACCACCAAATCTACCAAAGAGATCTGCACATAAAAACCATAATCCCCGAGGCAGTAGAATTAGATATTACAAAACTCTGGGAAAGGAAAATGAAGTAGGTGTAGACAATAAGGAAAATCATTTCCTGTGAAGAGCATGCAAAAACTTGGTGCCAGTCCAGTTTAGAAAGTTGATCCACTGCTGTTTAACCTGCCTGTGGCAAACCTGTTGTTCTGCAAGACTAAAAGTCAAGTGATTACTTGGAACTGGGTAAATTTAACATGACCAACAAAGAGGTAAGGAGTTAATGGGTTTCATGTCTCTTCCCTTCTACTTATTTTCTTTAACAAATGCTTCGTCTATACTAGAGGATCAAAAGACATGGCATAGAGTTCATCAACTTAAAACAATAACTAACTTTGAGAGTCTCATTTGGGGATATTCTTACATTTTCAGTCTCTGCATTCTGAAGGATAACATTTTAGCATAAGCCAAGATGAAGCTAACACTATAAGCATACTCTCATTTCCTTAATGATAAACAAGGTAGCTGAACTACCTAAACATGTTGTCCAAACTTCTGTAGAAACTGAAACAATATTTCTTTAAATAACTCTGATAGTTTTTTTTTTTAAGGCCTTACCCGCCCTGACTTCTTGGTGACATCTGTCACTGAATACTTCATTTCTCCTGCAAAGTCTACCCCTTTGCCACCACAGGACCATATTGTGCTGTCCTGGTATTCCTTCTCCCGATGCAATCATTCCCCCTTTTCAGTGACTAGCTCCTCCCTCCCATCTCTCCACCACCTGGACTTTGACTATTTCTGGCATGGGAAAATCCTCCTCTTCTCTGAATGCCGACAATGTGTACCTTCTCACCACACTGTGAGCCCTGTATTTTCAAACTGATATTTCTCCTTGGATATTTATCCCTGTATGACCTTGCTCATAGGGCCCAAGCCAAATCTAACTTTACTTCCCAAACTGAGTGCCCTTCGTAACTTACACCCACACAAAGGCCTCTCTGTAGCCTCTCCAGGCTAAAAATGTAGCAAGGTTGATCCTCTCTGATGCTTGCCATCACTCGGGCACTGAGTCCCGAGTCCTTCGTGCCCACATATCTGTCCCCACCGCCAGCACCCCAAGTTCAAGCCCACGTCTCAGGTGAAATCTATGGTCCTCAACTTTCCCACCTAGACTTTACTCTAGTGTCCCCTTTTCTAATCTATCCATGGGACTATAGTATAGGCTGAAAGATTGATATTTTCAACATAACGTTTTTATATCACTCACCTATTCGGAGAAACCTATTAGGGTCTCCACAGGGTGTGGGAACTACACGTCAAAAGGTACTGGGAACTGAGACCGCTACGCTAAAAACCTGGCTCCACCTTTTATGTCTTACTTCTCAAATCAAAACCTTTTCCCAGTCAGGCTCTCCTTCTCAATGTCTTCCTCCCACATGCTCATTCTCACCTTTCCTTTCCCTCAAAAAGTTTTTGCCCGTTACTGATGCTCTGCTCCTTTTCTTCTACTTCAAATCTTGCTTCTTTTGAAGCTACTTAATGATTTCTCCATTTTAAAAACACATGCACTGCCTCCTGATAGAATTTCTAATGCATCTATGCACACTCTAAAATTCACATTTCATTTAAGTCAAATGCAGAAGCTAAGAGTAGAGGTATAACAAGTGATAGGAAAAGCTTCCTGCTCTAATTAGCTTATAGTTGAGTGGAGAACAAGTAAAACTACCAAGCTATTTTTAATACCATGACATGGGAAAGATACAGAGATACAGGCACCATGCTATGAAAACCTGGAGGGACATTTAATACAACCTCACAAGTTTGGGGAAATGCTTCCTACAGGAGCTGAGTCTTGTAGAATGAACAAGTTTGCAGGGCAACTGTCACCTACTGCTTTCATCTTTAAATACTTAATGCTGGCATTCTGTGACATCTTAACAAGCCTTACTTGCAAACTCCACAGGCAACTGTCTCTGAGGGGACTGTATTTTATACAATTAGTTTGTACCTTCACGGCACCTAGCATAATAGCGGGCACATGGTGCATACTTCATAAATACTTGTTATTCAACTGCCACTTTGGCAAAATCTAAATGTCAGAATATATCTGGGTAATAATTTCTACTGCAACAAGGAAAGCTATGATGCCAGTGAAATCAATGCAAAACTCTGTATAAAGGGAAAATGTACTGAAAAACTCATTCAGCTGTTGGCTTTTAAAAATGATCCTGGAAAATAAAATCTTAGTAGCACAGGTAATAAAGTTGCAAGTGTGTGATTTAAAGTACTCACAGCAAACAAGCACAATCAAGTTAGAATTTGATATTATTAACTAGTGGTGATTTATATAAATTTCTTGCTCTTACAGGTAAAATCCCATTACAACAAATACACAGAAAAACAACCTTGAAATGAATGAAGTGTGTCCAGCATCTGAAGGGATGGGTCACAGAAATTACCTTGTGGATCTTAACAAATTCTATGTAGAAAATTTTAACAAGGAAAAATATTTTAACATGGGCTATGTCTGATCCTAGCCCAGTAAAATTACTTTTATCATTAAAGAAACATTTTATTGTAAAATAGGATATTTAAAAAATATACCTTTTAGCCAGGTATGGTGATGAATGGCTATAATCCCAGAATTCTGGGAGGCTGAAGCAGGATGACCACAAGATTGAGCCTAGCCTAAATAACTTAGCAATATCCTGTCTCCAAAAAAAGTAATAATAATAATAATGATAATGAAAAAATAATGAAAAGGGCTGGAAATCAAAACCTTGGTTTTGATTCAGAGTACTGGAAAAATTCATTGATGTGTAATATCCAATTTTCCTCCACTTTTATAATGTAAATAAAGACACCCAATTGATAAAAATATCACTAATCATTACTAATAGTCGCATAGCTGTTAATGGCTTAGGCTAGCAGGCTGAACATTTTCCTGCTTCTTTTTTAAATAGTAAAATAATGCTCTCTGACTTCCTCTGTCACTTAAAGCCAAAGTCAAATGTCAAGGATGATTAAGGTCAAGCTTCTTATAGCTTAGCAGAGGGCAGGGAAGGAGACGGCAGGGTACCATGGGTTTAGGAAAGGCTTTACGGCCCCCGTAGTCAAACACTGCAGTATAAATTTTTAAGTAGAAAGAAGTATATGGGGGAAAAAAAAATCAAGGCTTGGTGTAAGTGCTGCTTCATTGCTTGGTATGAATATGAAAGTTGTATAGCTTTTTGGTTTTTTTGGTGGTTTTAATTTTTTTTTGGGGGGGGTACCTGGGATTGAACTCAGGACCTTGTGCTTGCGAGGCAGGAAGTGGAACCACTGAGCTAAATCCTCAGCAACACAGCTTTTCATAATATGTTCAATTTTGTCAAATTTCCCTAAAGCCCAATTTGTATATTTGATAGAATCTGTCATATTGGGATTTTACCTGTATGATTAATTTTTCACACAGATTCAAAACAGCTACAATACACTCACTGCAATGGAATCGTTTTGCTTTCAAAATCTTCTAGTAGTAGGTATTCCTCTCCTTCTTCAGAAACAAAAGATGACCCTTGGCTGGTTTACAATCACATAAGAAATGGAGCAAGATCACCATTTATAAATCAGTGAAATCTGTTAAGCAAGTAATACTGTGAGTCTGTAACAAAGAGTGTGAAACAGCAGCCAGATTTCCAAAAGAGCCTGGTGGGTACAACTGTGCTCTGCCCAAATTGGCAGAGATTGTGTTTCTTTAATAAATAAGAATAATAATAAATCTCCTGAATATTAGCAATTATTCATGGAAGGATATAAATCTAAAACATAAGCTTGAAATCTAAGCTCACCTAGATGGTTTAAGCCTTCAATCAAGGCTCAAAAAGCAGACAAAATTTACCTGGCAGGTTCAGGCTTCTTGCTTTGACAGTTGATCAGCAAGAGGTAGTCTTGGGGGTCTTCCTGGATGCCCAGAGTTTCCGGGTGTGGTGGGAGGCTGATGAGCTGATACGGAGGAGGAAGAGCAGCAGAGGAAGGGTCTGTGGAAGATGGAACTGTGTTTATGGCAAAAGCTGGATCAGCAGGTGCCTGTAAGGAGCTGCCTGGAGGCTTCACAGGATCTGCAATGCCAGAGACGATCAATGTTGATCATGTTTGAAGAAAAAAGCAATTGTTTTGGTTATACAAAGCTACTTTAAAGCTTAGAGATACTTCTGTTTCAATACACAAAACAGGAAAAAAAAAAGCCATGGCAATGTCACTTACAGCAAATAATACTGAAGTGGCATTATGGCTGTAAGAAATAACTGGTTCTTCTCAAAGAGATCTACAACTTCAGCTACTTGGAGGGCTGAGACAGGAGGATTCCAAGTGTGAGGCCAGCCTGGGAAACTTAGTGCGACCCTGTCTCAAAATACACCAAAGTAAAATGGACTAGGGATCTATGTAATTCAGCAGTAGAGTGTTTGTCTAGCATGCATGAGGCACTGGGTTCTATCCCCAGTACCACCAAAAATTAAAAAAAAAAAAAAAATTAGGAGTCTTCCTTCTGTCCATAGGCTCTTTAAAAAAGCCAAAGTTAACCTTGCTTTGGACAATTACTAGTTTGGGGTTATGGAGATGGAAGGCATTCTACAGTCTTAGCACAAGATGCAGATTTATTTTTTCCATGATAATAAACAAGGTGCTTCCTAAGCCAAGCCAACCTTTCAGGGAGACCTATTTGATGACATGGACTTAACAGATCCAAGTTGCTGTGAATATGAGCCTCTGTTCTTTACCCTAGGTTTATTTTGTTGCTCATTCTTTTCTTTTGATTTTTATCAGAGAAGAAATAAATATTTTTAATTCTGGCACTGGTGAAAATGGATTCTATCAATGTTTAGGGAAAGAACTTAAAGCTCACAGCCTCATTTGCCATTTAGGAGACTTTTGCAAATTTTAATAAAAAAGGAGTTTTCAAGCAAAGAAGAAATTGATTAAGCCCTTAACTATGTTTTGAGAACACACATAAAGAGAAATTGTGGGCTGGGGATTTAGCTCAGTGGTTCTGCCACCTGCCTCGCAAGCGCAAAGACCCAAGTTCGATCCCCAGTACCAAATAAATAAATAAATAAATAAACAAATAAATAAATAAATAAAATAACAGAGAGAGAGAGAGAGAGAGAGAGAGAGAGAGAGAGAGAGAGAAATTGTACAAAAGGAAATAATATAAATCTAAAAATGAGTCCCTCTGTCATTATCGACATAACTAAGCAATATCTTAAGGGCCCAGAAGGAATATGCTCTATGAGTCTGGTTACAAATACAAGGTAATAAATAACGCAGAAAATGGCAAACGGTCATATATAAAAATATCTGCCTATTGCCTGTTTAGAACAGAACAGAAACGGCCAGGTTGAACAGATTTTTACATTATATTAGGTAAAAGATGCTCAAATATGTAAGGAGATGGATATTACACCAAATACAATCAAAGGCGGATCATTTGTCCTGTTACTTTACCAGAGAGGGCCAAACATCAGCTCTGTCTTCTCTAGACATTTAGAAATACATCCAAACACTTTTCGTAACGCCTTTATGTATTTAACAGTAAGGTCCATATATGCACCACAACAAAATCCATGGAGCTCATTTTACAATTCTTCCTCTTTTGTTGGTACTGGGGATCAAACCCAGGACCTTGCACTTGCAAGGTAGGCAGGAGCACCACTGAGCTACATCCTGGCCATGCAACTCTTCCTCTTAAGGAGTTATGGCTGAATCCTAATTGAGAAGCCTGAATATAACAACGTTCCTCCAAAAAAAGGATCAGCACTGCTAAGCTTACTGTGCCTTTCACAGAGTAGGTGTAGAAGAAAATGTTTCAGTCACAGGGCAGAAAGTCACTCAGCACTTTCTGCCAAACTGGAGGAGATGAAAGCAAAGGGCACTGAGAACAGGTGTGACCCATTCACTTGCTGGTGTAGTCTGGGATTTGCTTCTGTGGCCCCTGTTAGATGCTAATGAAGTCTGGAAACTTCTTTCAACTGGAGGATTGAGCCTGAGCAAATAGAAGGTGGGCTAATTTCTTCTTATTGTTGTGATGCTTCAAGTAATGTCCAGTCTTCACACAGGTTTATGCAACAAAATCCTTGTGCTAGGAGTCAATTCTTTTTTATTTAAACAAAAATGGTAGTGACATCAAAATAAACATTGAGACATTTATATTACATTATACAATAATTTCAGAGGGTATTCATAAGTATTTGTTGTCTAAGTTATGTACATTACATACCCTATGAAACATTTTACTCTTTTGGTTCAAATTACAAATATACAGATATTTTCTTTCAGGGAATTTAAAACGACACAGATTACATGCATCTCAGAATAAAGCCTTGTAGATTTAAGAGAACTATGAAAAATATTTATGTTTTGAAGATGACTTTATGGGAAATATATACAACACTTGAGAACGAAAAAATATCAGAAAGCAGTTGATGTGTCCTACAGGCTGTATTCACAAATGTACTTTGTATATTTGATAAAACTCAATAATCGAGTTCAATTTTCTGTTCTAACCAAAACAAAATAACTGGAAACAATTCACTATAAAATATACATACTCTAGCTTTCCACTGTAACTCCCACAATTATTGATTTCCATGTATATATTTTTCCTTCAATATCTTTTCTACACTTGGGCTATCTGCTAACTGAATTGATTAATCCATATCAAGTTTGAAAGAGAAACTGCCCAACTGGGGATATATATTTGTTTGACCTTGCTTTATTAACACATGGGATCATTTCATTTTTAACCTCCCATTACTTCTGCCTGTGAATGATAATACTACTTTAACTTCTCTAAATCTACAAGGTCTCAATTTTCTAAAAAGAAACCAGGAATTAAATGGTTCCATTTTCAAAAATACTTTGATCACCATACATGAAGACTTAGGCTCAAATGTAACTTCCAAGAGGCAGGAACTAGAGAGAAACATTTCTATCATGCTCACTAGCAAGCTCTAGAGAGAAAAGACTTTTTAAGCAGCCTTACAATACAACCCTGATAATACTGGCACACAAAGGGAAACGAAGATCATTCTACTACTTTGGGACCACAAAATGCACAATTTCCAAATTTTAGTGCTTGGGATAATTTTACTCATGTTAACTCAGCTCTGCATATATTAATATTAGCACTGTATTGAGTTTAAATATTCTCTAACTTGAAAATTTTAAGCCTAAATGACTGCTCTGAAAAGGGAACTTCTGTTCCACTGTATAAAGGTATGTGATTTATACTTTATTCGACACTACCAGTAATAGAACAGGCCATTCTTCTTTCCGGCTTGCAAGAGTTTCTGATTTACTGTTCTTTCTAAGTAATGCTAGTATCAAGCTTCTAAGAATCAAACGCTGGTCTAGGGTTTGCTTGTGTATGTAAAATCATTTCCCATTTCTTCATTCAGGAGGCATGAAGAGTATAATTAAAGCCATTAAAGGGCTAATAAACTACTAGAACAAACACCTAATTGAAATTTACTTGGAAAGCTAGTAAGCATTGCTGAAGAAAGCCTTTCTGTGAATCAGATTTCAGCAAAGAGAAGCAGATGATGAGTTGATGAGTTGTACGAACAATTAACCAGTTCATATAACCCTTCACTTAACCATGGTACTTGGTGTAAGTGTTCTTCTTGATAACAAGGCTAAATATTCCAAATAATTACTCCTGGGGCTGGGAATGTAGCTAAGTGGTTAGAGCACTTGCCGAACACAGTCAAGGGCTTGAGCATGAGCATCAGACGCCAAAGCAAAACAATCAAAGCCCCAACCTTTTTTTTTTTTTTCCTTTGGGCACAGGAGTTTTCACCTTAAAACGTAATTTTATTTTTTCATATTGGTAAAGTAAAGTGTTGAAGAGTTGATGTATGAGGTTCTGTGAATTTTCAGCTATTGCTTACTAGGAATGCCCTGAGCTTCCTGTAATAAAACTGTGGTGTAGTCCATGTTTTTGTCAGGAGACAAGATGAGATTCTTTTCTTTGAAGATGGCCTATGTCTGCTGATAGAGTACTTTAAAAAAGTTTCCACTGTCAAACATTTACCTTTATGTTCACAGTGAAAGGTAAATAGGTCAAGGTCACTGTTTTTCTTGATTACTGATTTATGGTATGTAGTGCAATATCTTTCTTTCTGTAAAAATAAGCATTTTGAATAGATCTACACTTACCTTAGCAAATAGCACGACTACTTCCTCACTTCCAAATACACCATTTTTATGAAAGACTGTCTTATGAAGCTAAGTCTAGTGAACAGAGGCAAACAGGAAACAGCAGCAACTGTCAGTGAAGCAATCGATCTGCAGTTTCTTCAATTTACTTAATCAGCTACTGCAGACCCTTAATCACTGAGCAATACATTGAATGTGTTTCAAGCAGAAACAATATCTTATTTGTCCTGACTCTTTCCTCAATAGATTGTGAAAACATTCTTAGAGAATTTAAAACAAATACTTAGGCAATGTTGACAAATACCTTACTTGTTATCCAGAGGTCTGACAGCCGTTTGCATCATTTGTGTGGTATTTTAGGAGCACAAGTGCTTGGGCCCCCACCACAGGACACTCAGTAAACCAAGATATTCTGGGGCAGTGGCTTAAAAATGTATAATAAAACAAAGCAAATGCAAAAAGAAGATACACTTCAGTTGAACTTAGGCCTCAGAAAAATGCAAATTAAAACTATAAGATATACCACATACTCACTAGAGTGGCTGAAATTAATGACTAATTTCCAAATGTTTGAGCAAATGTGGAATAATTGGAATTCTCAGGCTCCTGGCAGGAAAGCAATTAACAGGATGACTTTGGAGGACTAAAACCAAATCTACTCAAGTTAAATACACATATATCCTATGGCAGTGGTGGTGAACCTAGGCACGAGTGCCACAGTAGGCTCTATCACTGAAAGCTCTGGAGTTTCTCCATCGCTATGGCCTATGACGTAGAAGTACTGCTGATGACTATCAAAAACACGGAAAAGAACGTTCACTACAGCTTTATCTGTACAAACTGAAAACTGCAAGCAGCCCACGTGTCCATTAGCATTTGAGTAGACCCATACTGTGATAGAGTC